CCCCAAAACCCCAAAACCCCAAAACCCCATATTGTCCAATTAAATTGTGGAAATGCATTACCTCGAATTAAAATTAAAGAACTCTTTCAAATCAATTATTTGTAACACTGTCGTCCATTATAAGTTCTTTTCTTATTTGACAAATATCTAGCTTAATGTTTTCGTCTTGCTTACCCATGATTTCTTTGGCTTTTGATACCTTATTTTCTAATTGATTTATTTTTTATTCCAGTCTATCCAGAGCTGCACTCATGAATTCAGTTGGATGATTAAAGTTCTGATTGTTATCTCCTTCAACATTAGCTGAATTAGTAGAGTCTTTTTGAGTGAAAATTGGCTTAGGCTTAGGCAAGTAATCTTAATCATCTTTCTTATGAGCATTCTTATTATGATTTAAAGAGTTATTTACATCTCCTCTTTTGCTGTCATTATTCAAAGCTGTAGGTGTTTTCTCAGGTTTAATTCCATAGTAATCCTTGTATTTGAAGCCTTAAGCTGCATTTATTTGCTATTAGATCTTCTTATCATCCATCTCATCATCCAATTTCATTTTTTTAAGGTCTTTCATTCCCTCTCCTTTAGAATGCTTGAAATTCACATCTAATATTAGATCTTTAGGTATTTCTTTACCAAGCACAAATACCCTATCTCTCGCTGTGATTGTAGTCCTTCTCTAATCAGGGTTAGTGTAGCAATAAGGAAATTAGTTATCGTTTGCTCCAGGAAGTCTGTAAAGACCGATTGCAACAAGATTTTTGTCTAGCAAATACTTAAATAGTTTATCATATGTTTTATTGATGAATTCTTCAGGTACCATAATCTGCCAAAGATTACTCTAACTTAGTTTATCGTCAAAATTAGCAATTATCTCAGCTTCTGTATCATCTTTTATAGTTCGTTCTCCTCTTCCCACTAAGATTTATTGCAAAATTGTTACTACATGAGGGTTATAAAATGCTTAAGCTGTTAACGTATCAATTGTAGCTGCTATATATACTTCTCCAGCAGCGTACAATGTGGAAAAAGTGTACTCAGGATTTTTTTTACTTTTTGGCAGCAAGAAGTCTATATTTGAGCTATAAGAAAGTTCAGTTAGAATTTAGAGCTAAGGATTAATTCGTTTTATTGCTTTATATATGAAAATAGATTATGCATCTATCATTTCATCATTTAACTCTGTATGATTCTTTTGAGCTTTAATTGTAGGATCATGACCTAAAATAACTGCTTTATCAGCTTTATGAATATAAGCCTATTTGAGGATTTCTGTGGACAGAGGAGATCCTTCAATTAAGTAGATTCTTCGGAATCTGGCAATAGAATCCCATATTTCTCCCTTGATTGAGGAATTTGGAGTAATTATAACAATATCCTGTTAATAGTTTTTAAGGTACTTTGCCCTTAATGGTAGAATGAAGTGATAAATGGAGGAATGAATACCACAGACCACGATATGATTCTTGAGTTTAATGTTGGAATCCTTTATTTGAACTTCAGTTTAGCTTTAAGGCTTACTTAGCATATCATAATCTTTTTCAATTGGGTCAATGAAAATGTTGTTCATCAAGAATGAATCCTTTCTATTTTTACCATCATTTATTTCTCCAAGAGCATTAAGCAGTTTATAATTACTTTAGCTATTCTTTGGTTTAACAATCAATTGATTTTTATCCCCTATCGCAGTTGCAGGGCCATCATCTTTATCTCTATTAGTAATGAAGTTTCCTGATACCAAGCCAGATTTCATCTCATCATCCCCATCTAGGGTGTTAATTCTTCTGTTTGATCTGCCCATCATGAAAGTTTGGCTTCCTACTAGATTCTCTTTAATGCTTGCCTCTATTTTATTAGTCACTGTTTTGACCTTATCATACCTTACTCTTTTAAAGTAACTTTCATATTTTTCATCTGGCATGTCTAATTTTTGTACTGATCTTGCAACAGTCTCATCTTCACAAATGATGTAAAGATAGTAGTTGTATGAAATCCATTCCTTGAATTCAAAATTATGAGGATTTAATCTGATAATGCTCTTTTGACCTTGATATGCCTTTACTTCGATTTCAAGAGCAAAAATAATAGCACTGAATTCAGTGAAGCCAATATCAGCTATATCCTTGAATGTTAAGTTGCCTAAAAAATCATTCTCACTAATTAAAACTCTATAGACTTCATGACCCATTCCCTCAGCATACTCTTTCAGCCATTCTTCTTAAAACTCATCAGTTTTTATATCTCCAGCTGAAGCAAAAAGATTTGAGATGACTGATATCAAACCTGGGGCAAAGCATGATTTGGCAAGTAAGTTCATCTTAATTTCTTCAACAATGATAAGCTAATCATTAGTAGATGGTAAATTTAAAGATTTGAAATAGAGTATCTTTGACTCTGGCTTAATCAATTGCATGCAAATCTTAATATTGCTTTTACTCTCTTCTTTTAATTCCTTACTTCTGTTGTATACATATTTCTTAATGGCTAGAGCAGTAAGAATATTTAGATGATCCTCCTCAGCAGCAGATTTAGAATTTTTATTTGTTAATAGCACACATGAGTCAGCTTTATGTGTATCACCTCTCATTAAATCTCTAGAATTCATAGGATTGCCTGATAGGTAGGTCAGAAACATTCCATATTTTTGGATAAAGAGTTCCATCTCAGGCTTAGGATCATCTTATTACAGAATTACTGCATTAGTTGCTTGGGTTCCATGATCTTCGTGAAACAGCTCATCACAAAAATTCTTTAGTGCTTGTAGGCCAACCGAGCCAGTTACTAAAATATGCTTCACTTCTACTGACTTATATGCAGTTCTTCTATATCTACTCTGCAAGTTCATTAATCGAAGAAGTTCATTAGTCTGTTGAGGTATGAGAATAATAGTGAAAATAATGATGAACATAACAATCGTCCTTCCAAAAATAGTATCAGGATAAAAGTCTCCATAGCCTACAGTAAATAGTGTGACAACAACAAAGTAAAGAGAATCATGAAATTTCATGGGTACTAATCGGGATGAATTCTCAACCACTTGATATATTCCACAGGATACGTACATCAATAAGATCATAGTCATTAGGACAATATTAATCTGTCTATCCACATCAGTTTAACCTAACTTATAATATTTAACAAGTATCATAGCTGAAAGTATCGTCCTAACGTATCTAGAGAATGCAATGAGGTAAAATGAGCTGTCTCTTTTATTTGGAGTCACGATTATTATTAGTGGAACAAACGTCATGCATCCCAAAATTGATTGCACACTCAGTAAATATTAGAGTCTGTGCTAGGAAACATACAATTTAATTACATATACTGCGAGATATATGTAGCAGATGATTAAATCAAGCTAGTTAAACCAGTCCATTTGCACATGCATATAGTCCTCTACATATGTTAATACCACGTTGAGGATAGATGAAATAAAGCCGATGAGCCCCGAAGTCTGATCAATTACATCCCAGAACTTTTTTTATATTAGTATTCGCTCTAAATACAATCTAAAATCTTTTTCCTTAGCCCAAATATCTCTATGGTCTTCCGTTTAGTAGCTAGATTCAGTGAGTGTAATATCTTGCTACTGAGACTAGTTGGGTATAATTGGAAGTTTCTCAGTAGGCAAAGCTCCATCGTTTTTGAATTCTTCTTACATTTTGAATTAATTATTACCAATCTCTATTCTATTTTCAGCAATTATTTTACTAATTTCAACATCATGGGGTTTTGGGGTTTTGGGGTTTTGGGG